CTTCTCCCATTATCAAGGAACTATAAAAAACATCAACAGGAAGGCATATAAAGGGGCAACACAACACCTCACAATCACGTCACCACAACAAGACTACACCTCACAGATGTTTTAATTATTAAGGGTAACGATGATCTTAAATTTAAGATTTACAGAAAGCCTACAAATAACTGTTCCTATGTACACATTTATTCTTCATATCAAGATAGAGTTAAACTGTCGGGTTTCTCTTCACTGTTTTTGAGAGCTTTACGTATTTGTAGTCCAGAGTTCATAAATGAAGAAATCTCTAAAATTTGTGAAATAGCTAATGATCTAAAATGCCCAAGGAACGTAATTGATAAATCTTCTAAAATAGCTAGAAATACTTTTTACAATCGAAAAAGGGGCAACCAACCTTATTCAACTAAAAATATGTTGGTTCTCCCTTACCATGAAAACTTGGTTGATATGCCTTCTCTTCTTAAGACTTTTAATATCAAAGTTGTATTTAAAAATCTTGATATAGTAAAAAAACTTTTGATAAAAAATTCCCCCCAAAATGCTGACGGATATGTCTATAAGATTCCTTGTAAAATTTGCGATAAAGTTTATTACGGTCAAACTGGTAAAAGTCTCGAACTAAGATTAAAACAACTTAAATATAGCCTTAAAACTGGACAAGATTCTAATGCTCTGTTTATTCATGTGAGAGACTTTAACCATCTAATTGATTTTCAAAAGGCTGAGAAAGTTGTATCAAGCAAGTCCATGGTCGACAGGAATATAATAGAATCATGTTTCATAAAAAGCAGTTTTGAAAATAATATGAATATTTCTTTTGGTTAATATAAATTGGATTCATTGATAATTAATCAAAATTGGGAAGAATTTAATGATACATTAGACAAGTAAAAAATCTTAACGCTTGGGTAGAGAATCAGGTGTGTTTCACAGAGTCGGGTGTTGTCACGCGACTGAGGTGTAGTATTGTTGTGGTGACGTGACTGTGAGGTGTAGTCTTGCCCCTCTATATGCCTTCTTGTTGATGTTTTGTTTTTTATAGTTCCTTGATAATGTGAGAAGTCACGAGATCGCCTGGAATTTCGCTATTTTTTCACGGTGGTTGTTTTACATATTGTGATGTCACCTGTTTACTGTGATCTAATATATATATATATATATATATATATATATATATATATATATAATATATATATATATATATATATATATATATATATATATATATATATATATATATATATATAATATATATATATATATATATATATATATATATATATATATATAAATAAATATAAATATATATATATATATATATATATATATATATATATATATATATATATATATATATATATATATATATATATATGTCGTGCCGAATAGTTAAAACTTGCGATATTGGCTTAAATAGCAACGGTCTTCTTGCCGAATAAGGCCAACGAAAATTTGTGTATGCAATAATTTTGCAAAAATCATTCTAAACCTAACGAAAATATATATTTCATTGTTTTTATTTATTATTAAATTACTGCAAACTTATCTAAAATATATTTAGTTGGATTAGGCTAAATTAAATTGCACTTGTTATAATAAGGTTAGGTAAGTTTTCTAAGGTTCTTTTGGTACAAAATAATTATTTTTTACATTAACATAAATGAAAAAATTATGTCTAAACGTATAAGAGAAAATTTTAGAAAGGTCTTAATTTTAAATGAATTCTTGCTAATTGACCAGTTTTACCTATTCGGCAAGACACACACACACACACACACACACACACACACACACACACACACACACACACATACATATATATATATATATATATGTTATAATATATCTTGCATACTTTAGACGTTCAAAAGAGCTCTGTTACTTACTGTCAATTTGTTCACAGTTGGTGACCTTAGACTTTCGCTCACAGATTTGCTGCTGAACATCAAAGAAGAGTTCACTCTGGCACTGGGAGGCACTGATGGACCTCTTGCCAGCCGGTGCTGGCACGCACCGGTAGTACACGCCGCAGTTCGCTCTGTACTGTAAAATCCAAGACACACGTTTTAGTTAAAATTCAACTCTTATTATTGCCTTTATAAAAGATGGAGAGGTATTAGATGAGAGTTTTGCTTGGTCTTCTAGACTACATACGAAACATAAGGAAGCTGGTAATACATTTTCTGATAACTTGAGATTTATGGAAAGTGAAACCTTCATGGGGAAGTGGAGGCCTCGATCCCATGACGGTCTCTTAATCCAAGAACTGGAGCTATTCTCCCCTCCATTGAATCGACCTTAATTACCTCCCATTCTTTAGGCTCTGCATAACCCGTACGGGGTCATGCAGACCCCGTAGGGGTCTGCTAGCCAACCTTCGCTACCTAGACCAAGGTAATACAGAAAAATCTTAAAAAAAAATTGCATTCATTGTACAAAAGAAAAAGGGAAGAATATATATATATTCTTTTATTTTACTTTTAATTTTTAATAATACTGATAACAGTGGAAACAAAAACAGTGACACAGTTGTAATTATTACTGTGTTCGCCACCACAAAATAGTCACTTTACTCTAGAACTGTTTCAGTAATGCATCAGTTCATGGTGGAGGAAATTATATTAACAAGTACTTTAACAGACTTGTGAAATGATTTAATAATTTAAGAGCCAGGAAGCGTGTAGCCTCGCACATGTTACCCTGTACGACCGACCTTAAAAGTATTCGAACATTAATTGATACACGAGTTCCAGGATTATGATAAGTTTTACTGTTGCCCTTCTGGGGTCTTATCAGTATGAGTACCGGTTATAATAATTTTAATGTGGATGGTGCAGAGGTAACGTGGTCGTCTCACTCCTGTGAGTGGTGCTGAATGTCTCATTCGGGTTTAGTGTTTTTTCTTTTTTTTTTGTAAGTTAAATAAAGACCACTCGTGCGAGTCGCTAACTCGAGGCCCTTGCAATTCATCCCGTAATAATGTTCACTGCGGCGTGCAGTCATTGTATAAACATTTGTTGTATGTCTTATACGTACATCACTAGCGAATTCGGCAGGGTCGCCGAAATCTTTTCTGAAGTATTCATCATCGCGGCGAGCACAATATTGTTCTGGGTCCATGTCTGTGGTCTGGGCGACCACCCATCCTGCTAGCACTGTGGACACAAACACATTGGTTACAACACGGTATTACTCACATTATTTAACACAAACATGAAAAACAACATAAACATATTGTATATCTTTCAGTCAAGACAAATAATCTTAATCATAAGATTAAGCTGGTATGCAGTATCATATTAACACTATAGCATGCATAACTTACTACATAAACACCTAATACGTCAGTTGCTTGGTAATAATGATGACCTTGAAAATAGTTCACCCCTCCAAAAGAACGATAAAAAAACTAAAGTATAACCTGGCTATATTATAGACAGACAAATGTCAATCAATCAGCGAACACAAATACCTGTGTAAAAGAATTAACATGTAGGGTGATGAAAATTTCAAAAAGAAATGAAAACATATACAAGTACAGAGGGAGACGTGTAGAAACATGTAGGGAGAAGCAAAACATGTAGATAAGAAAAGAGATAAAGAAATATATAGGTAGAGATAAAGAAATGTAGAGGAGATTAAAATAAGTAGATAAAGGGGAAGCAGGCAGATACAGAGGGATACATGAAGATACAGGCAGATACAGAGGGATACAGGCAGATACAGAGGGATACATGAAGATACAGGCAGATACAGAGGGATACATGAAGATACAGACAGATACAGAGGGAAAGATGAAGATACAGACAGATACAGAGGGAGAGATGAAGATACAGACAGATACAGAGGGAGAGATGAAGATACAGACAGATACAGAGGGAGAGATGAAGATACAGACAGATACAGAGGGAGAGATGAAAATACAGGCAGATACAGAGGGAGAGATGAAGATACAGGCAGATACAGAGGGAGAGATGAAGATATAGGCAGGTACAGAGGGAGAGATGAAGATACAGTCAGATACAGAGAGAAAGATGATACAGACAGATACAGAGGGAGAGATGAAGATACAGACAGATACAGAGGGAGAGATAAAGATACAGGCAGGTACAGAGGGAGAGATGATACAGGCAGGTACAGAGGGAGAGATGACACAGGCAGGTACAGAGGGAGAGATGATACAGGCAGTTACAGTGTGAGAGATGATACAGGCAGGTACAGAGGGAGAGATGATACAGGCAGGTACAGAGGGAGAGATGATACAGGCAGGTACAGAGGGAGAGGTGATTCAGGCAGGTACAGAGGGAGAGATGATACAGGCAGGTACAGAGGGAGAAATGATACAGGCAAGTACAGAGGAAGAGATGATACAGGCAGGTACAGAGGGAGAGATGATACAGGAAGGTACAGAGGGAGAGAGGATACAGACAAGTACAGAGGGAGAGATGATACAGGCAGGTACAAAGGGAGAGATGACACAGGCAGGTACAGAGGGAGAGATGATACAGGCAGGTACAGAGGGAGAGATGATACAGGCAAGTACAGAGGGAGAGATGATACAGGCAGGTACAGAGGGAGAGATGACACAGGCAGGTACAGAGGGAGAGATGACACAGGTACAGAGGGAGAGATGATACAGGCAGGTACAGAAAGAGAGATGATGCAGGCAGGTACAGAGGGAGAGATGATACAGGCTGGTACAGAGGGAGAGATGATACAGGCAGATGCAGAGGGAGAGATGATACAGGCAGGTACAGAGGGAGAGATGATACAGGCAGGTACAGAGGGAGAGATGATACAGGCAGGTACAGAGGGAGAGATGATACAGGCAGGTACAGAGGGAGAGATGATACAGGCAGTTACAGAGGGAGAGATGATACAGGCAGGTACAGAGGGAGAGATGACACAGGCAGTTACAGAGGGAGAGATGATACAGGCAGGTACAGAGGGAGAGATGATACAGGCAGGTACAGAAAGAGAGATGATGCAGGCAGGTACAGAATGTGAGAAGTGTGAAGAAACAATCACAGAGTGAGTCACAGGTGAGCAGTGTGTCTCCTACATCAAGTGTGTCAAGAACAAGTTTGGTCAGATTACAAAACATTTTTTTACAGCCAGACACGACGCAAGCAGAATTTCCTTTCACTCTCAGGTTTCAGGTTTACGTTGATGAGAATGTTGTATTAACACTTTAGTGTAAGGGGATGTGAAAAGGAATGAAAGAGAAATAAGAGAGAGGAGGAGGAGAGAAGGAGAGGGAGAAAGTGAATGAATCACAATATAAACCTGAATAACGAAACACCCATAAGAGCAGTAGGTCTGCTGACCAGAGATATGCAAACAGTTCTACGTAGCAGAGCATGGTAGACTTCGTGTGTGTGTGTGATTCGTGAAATCGAGATAGTGAGACCACCTCCACCATGAAAGTCAGTAGATGGCAGCCATCCAAGAAATCCCAGGCCCGCTTTCTCCGCTTCCTCTTCACCAGCTCAAATACACCTACATGATGCCAGCTCTGTTTTTTTTTCTTAATGTAAATGCGAGTTTCTAAATTTAAGTTAGCGTGAAGGAATCTGCAAAAACTGTCATGTAGATACCCAACCATAACACGACGAAAATAAAATTTTGTTCAATTTATTTTTTTTCTTTATTCGACTGACACTTTTATTTAAGGAGCTGTTTGTCTTTTTATTTAGACCTGCCTTTGAATAGTAAAAAAAAATCGAGTCAATAATGATTGGCGCGACATTGTTTTGTCAGGCTAAATTTAGACACAAGGTTTCAAGTCTTGTTAAGATGAACTGTTTTATTTGATGGCATGGATGGTTTGACAACAGCAGAACCTTTTACTGAAAGGAATTATACTTTTTCACATATTTAAAATAATTATCTTTATTTCTACAAGTACATTATATAAGTATTACGGACCTAGCTGACATCACTACCTACTTAATGCAAGTGTCAGAAAATGTGCCCAACGTTTCACCTGGGATTGATCATGAACGCTCAGTGTGTGAGCTGAGGACGATATCAACCAAGCCACGAGCACCCTCAACCACCTAAACGCGCGCGCGCGCGCGCACACACACACACACACACACACATGACATGACAGAGTAACAGAAGTAAGACACGAGAGAGAGGGGTGGATTGATTTCCTGGACTGCAGGAAGGCCTTCGACACAGTTCCTCACCAGAGATTAGTGCAGAAGCTGGAGGATCAAGCGCGTGTAACAGGAAGGGCACTGCAGTGGATCAGAGAATACCTGACCGGGAGGCAACAACGAGTCATGGTACGTGACGAGGAATCACATTGGGCGCCTGTGACGAGCGGGGTCCCTCAGGGATCAGTATTAGTACCAGTGCTATTTTTGATATATGTGAATGACATGACGGAAGGGATAGACTCAGAAGTGTCCCTGTTCGCAGATGATGTGAAGTTAATGAGGAGAATTAAATCAGGTGAGGATCAGGCAGGACTACAAAGAGACCTGGACACACTGGACACATGTTCCAGCAACTAGCTCCTCGAATTTAGCCCAGCCAAATGCAAAGTCATAAAGATTGGGGAAGGGCAAAGAAGACTGCAGACAGAGTATAGGCTAGGTGGACAAAGACTGCAAACCTCACTCAAGGAGAAAGATTTTGGGGTGAGCATATCACCGAGCACGTCTCCGGAAGCACACGTCAAACAGATAACTGCTGCAGCATATGGGCGCCTGGCAAACCTGAGAATAGCGTTCCAATACCTTAGTAAGGAATCGTTCAAGACACTGTACACCGTGTACGTCAGGCCCATACTGAAGTACGCAGCACCAGTTTGGAACCCACACATGGTCAAGCACGTCAAGAAATCAGAGAAAGTGCAAATTTTTGCAGCAAGGTTAGTTCCGGATCTAAGGGAAATGTCCTACGAAGAAAGGTTGAGGGAAATCGGCCTGACGACACTGGAGGACAGGAGGGTTACGGGAGACATGATAACGACATACAAAATACTGCATGGAGTAGATAAATTGGATAGACAGGATGTTCCAGAGAGGGGACACAGAAACAAGGGGTCACAATTGGAAGTTGAAGACTCAGACGAGCCAAAGGGATGTTAGGAAGTATTTCTTCAGTCATAGAGTTGTCAGGAAGTGGAATAGTTTAGCAAGTGATGTAGTGCAGGCAGGAACCATACATAGCTTTAAGACAGGGTATGATAAATCTCAGGGAGCAGAGAGAGAGAGAGAGAGGACCTAGTAGTGATCAGTGAAGAGGAGGGGTCAGGAGCTGAGTCTCGACCCCTGCAACCACAGTTAGGTGAGTACACACACACACACGCTAAGGGGCATGTCCTACGAGGAAAGGTTAACGGAAATCGACCTAACGACACTGAAGAACAGGAGAGATAGGGAGGATATGATAACGACATATAAAATAATGAGAGGAATTGACAAGGTGGAGAGACGAGATGTTCCAGAGATGGGACACAGCAACAAGGGGTCACAATTGGAAGTTGGAGACTCGGATGAATCACAGGGATGTTGGGAAGTATTTCTTCAGTCACAGAGTTGTCAGGAAGTGAAATAGTCTGGGAAGTGATGTAGTGGAGGCAGGATCCATAAATAGCTTTAAGAAGAGGTATGATAAAGCTCATGGAGCAGGAAGAGTGACCTAGTAGCGATCAGTGAAGAGGAGGGGCCAGGAGCTGTGAATCGACCCCTGCAACCACAGCTAGGTGAGTGCACACACACACACACACACACACACACACACGCAAGCACGCATGCACGCACGCACGCATTCCTATACAGTGAATATGCAGGGCTAGGATCTATGACTCGACCCCTGCTACTACAGTTAGGTGAGTTTACGCACGCACACACACAATTAGGGGGCATGACTTTAAATGTTCAGGGCCGTACCTCTTAGACGAAGTGTTAGAGCTTTTGCAAAGACAGCTCGTCATGACTCATCTGTGACGGCGACCGCGGAGATGATTGTTTCACTCCGCAGAGTTTTTATATATATTTATTCATGTAACCCAATTGGGTACATCAGCATTGTCCTGCTGTTCTATTCTATACGAGAAAAAATTTAGGAACAAAAGACAGCAAGTCATATTTTTCTGTCATATTCCATCACAGGGCGGGTGTCATACAGGAGGCAATGA